AGTGTGTTGGATTGAAGATCCGGAATCCCTCTACTAGGAGTTAGCAACGACTCTGTGTACGATCGCCCCCTCATTCCCCTTTAAGAAAAAGGCGTTTTCTCTCTCTCTCTCCCATGCCACCGACTGCACCTTGGAACATAGGCCAACAGAAATAGGACAAACCAAGCTCCGTTCGAAACTCGTAAGGACCATATATGATGTTCAGGGTAGAAGCCTTCCTTCGTTGATCGATTCTATGAAGCGGTCATTGCAAACTACTCTAGCGATGATCTTTGAGTGGTTGCAGCAGTCTCTCACTGTACCAGTTGGATCGGTGCTCATTTCTCGTCGGGCTGAGGCGTTCTTCATGCTCTTGCGTTGTACGAATTACTGCCCCGTTGTCGCTACTTGGGTTTCTCTGTCCAGATGTGTCTACCGTTAGAAGCGTTGGTACTTCATCGCCATTACGTCTAGATGGCAGTGCTTGCCCCTTTTCGTGCGATCTCATTCTCAACTCAGTTTGGATGAAAGAATCTGAGATTCTGGTCGGCGATACTCTTTCCCTCGCAACTGCCATTCGTCTTCGAGAATTCAGACTGCTATTCTCTCCGCCCCAATAATCAGGTCCGTAATAGATCGAAAACTCCTCCCCTGCTTGTATGGGACGTGATGTCTTGTAAAATAATGTCCATCGATTCTGCAGTGGAACCCATATCGGTTCCAGATTATAAGTGTCATCACCAAGGTCATTCACAAAGCGTAGCAAGTTCCCAACACGAGAACTATCGAGTGTTGTAGCATGCTCTTTCCAAACACCACTTTCAGTGCGTAAGAACATTGATGGGGCTTCCCAAGCATATTGACCGTGCTGTAATCTACTGGACAGAACCAACTCCCCGCCATACGAACCGAGAATCGTCTCGGCAGGAATATTTTCTGACGCGTACATCGAATACCCTTTCTTGGGGTTTGTCGAATGCCGGACGTGGTAAATATTGTCAACCGGCTTATTGTAGGGCGGTCCTAGAATAGATCCATGGCCTCGTCTGAGAAGAGAGCCGTATCTGACATACATACCGGTTAGATTTCCATGCAAGGCAAGTTCCTTGAACTCTGTGTCGTTTCGAATATCGTATGAAGTCAACAGCGGTAGCAGTCCGGATTCTACTAGCGTTTGATTAATTGGCAGAAGCCTGAAGGCTGTACGTAAGTCTTGGGTGGTGATATTGTACTCTGGATCTGTAATGGGCTGGTGTGGCGCGTCCCATGAACGTTCACGTATCTCTCGTGCGTGTCTTGAAGACGACAGATAGATTTCATCCGAATGTCCCCGACCAGGAGAATCGGAAGATGACCTCGAAAGGACTTGTGGATCATCGGCGAAACCTCGCTGTCTGCCGGAAAGCTCATTCTGATTCTCCTTCGGCTGAATAAACGGGGTCCACTGCTGAGCATCGGAGGACGGGACGGAATCTCTTTGGTTATGATATGGCTCTTCACCTAAACGAGCTTCATTCACATTCGTTATTATGGATTGTTCGGTATTCTGAACGCGATTGTGGAACAAGCCAGATGGTAACTCGCCCTTCGTGTATTCACGATGCGTATCCCTTCTCAACTGATTCTGTGGGATCCGACCCCCAAGAGATCCAAACGAAGCATGATCATGATATCGGTCGTCCTGTGAACTTATGGACGCACTGTTACCATGCCAGTCTTCAGAAGCATGTGAAGACGACGAGTGCAGGTTCGCTGACGATTGAGAATTGCCCTGGTTATAAATAGAGTTGTCAAAAACGGTGGTATCGTGCGTTTCGTCTGCGTGACGATCCCCCAAGGTTGTATCACCCCTCAGTTCGTGATACTCAGAGTCATGGTATTCATCATTTTTGTTGCCTTCCAAGGTATGCTCACTTGATTGACCATCACGTTGAATAGAAACATGCCTCTGAGCACCTCCTGTTGGGACGCTGTTATGTTCGTCTTCATCGGCTTCACCATGTTCTTCACCAATCTGGCCCTGGCTTTCCTCCCTTGTATGCAGAGAAGAGTTGCCCACACTGTTTTCGTGCTGATCAACGCCAATCTTACTGCCATTATTCTCAGAGTCAGTCGCATTTGAGTGGTTTGAATTGCCTTCGGGATGGTCCTCTTCCTCTTCCTCTTCCTCTCTCTCTTTCTCTTCCCCTTCCTCGTCCTCTTCTTCCTCATTATGCTTATCATCCTTAGTACCATTGTCATCATCTGAAATGCCTTGACGTTGTACATGATTGTGAGGGCTGTCAGCATCTTCGTTTCCTTCTCCCTCATCGTCGTTTTCCGACTGACCGCGGCTCATGTCACTTTCATGATGTTGGCGAGAAGGATCCTGGGACTGCGGACGGTGATGACTTTGAAGACGAGGGTCTTGCTGAGGCTCACGATTGTCCAATCGAGCATTGTGGTTTCCTTCATTCTTCTCCCACGCCACATTGATGACAGCGCTATAAAGTGATGCTGCCTGCTCGCTGCCGAACTGGAGCCATCCGGAAGACTCTTCCTGAATAGGAATTTGGGTTTGTTCCGAGTTCACGCGGCGCCACCATTGAAAGTCCACGCGCAGAAATGCGGCGGCCGGGAGAAGCAATAAGAGAGGTAGTAATCGGAAAAGAGACCTAGAGCGCGGGCGTATGCGCGGAGGACGGAAGCGCTTGCCCGAAACCGAAGAGGAATGCATAATTGCTGAGAGCGTAGCTGAGGGCGCATTGTCGGGGAGGGGGGGTAGAACGGGATAAGAGCGTGAGTTGATGTGGTGTTGGGGTGCGTTGGGTGGGCGATTCGGAGCTGATACGAAGGGCCCGGGTAGTGAGGCGGATCGAAGGCAGTTCTCTTTGTGGACGGGTATAGATGGCTTACGTTTTGGGACGTGTGTCCACGTGCGGCGGGACACATAGCTTCACACGAAGTATGTGGTTTTCAGAAATAGATACGGGTCGGCGTTGGGGACGGTTTTCGGATCGGTGAAGGCGAGGAAGTGTTCAAAGGGGAAGCAGGACGTCTTGTTCTGAGGTGCAGGAGGGGCGCGTGATTAACGATGCAGGTGGTGATTAGCGTATGAGGTGCCATGAGTTCGAAGTATGTACCGCTGTATTTTACAGAAGAAAAGCTGGCGTTAAAAGGTTTATTGAAGTTGCGCGGCCCTCGCGTGCTTCGCAATGTGCACCATGAGCCCGGCAGTGTTAAGCAGCAGGGGGTACCCAAGTGTGGGACCCACGTATGAAGCTTCGAGCACCGATCATGAGGTGTTGGTGTGTGCGTCGCGCAGCTTAAGTTGGAGGCCATCGTATTTTGTTATGGTGATCTAAAGCTGTGGCTACGCGAACTTGTTAAGGTGATAGAAAGTTATACACCTTGAGCAGATGCGAAGACTGACGTGCCGCCGTGTTCATGTTGATGAGCGACATGATTTTGGCGTGCTCGCTGCTTTCCGGGTAGCGCTGCCCTCGGCACGTATGAAACTTGATGGCAGGAAAGGGAAAGCAGATCATTTGAGGTTTTGAAAATTCAAATTTCTTGTGTCGCATGTCATGCACGGAAAGTTTCATAGACAGTCGCCGATTGGCGGCGTAGAGCGGAAGTGGAAGCGAGCGTGGACAAGTCCTGCGTCGAGCTGCATGATGCAGCTGATTCACGTCACTGACCGGCAGCCGTAACTAAACTACCCCTGTACTACACGCCACTCATAAACCGCAACTATACGCAGTGCCAAAGTGGCCACACGAGGCGCAGATGCTGTTGTGTAGACGCGCACCAGCCTCGAGACTCTCTCAGCGTAGATACGTATACGGCAACACAGCACTTTTTGTCTTCTTTACACACACACACAGTTCAGAGGGCGCTAGTAGTGAACAAAGGAAGGGGGGAGGTACGGGTGATGAGGTTAGAGCGAGTGCATACAGCAAGCGAGTTCAGACCACAAAAAGGCACTGAAAAACAAAAGCGAGTACGACCAACAAACGCAACGTATCACGATGCTTCTGACGGGTGCGTGCTGGCCGTGGCAGTGGGCACTGTGGCATTTGAGCTTTCAGGTGGATTAGTATTGCCTGCGTGGTCGCTTGCTGCTTCGGCTTGCTTGTCAGTACAGTTGGCGGGCGCATTGGGTTCAGCACGACTGAGCCAAATCTGGATCTTTGGCTTTGAGGACGTGGAGTGCCCCTTTGTAGGTTCCACTAGCGATGTTTGAATATCTGTTGCGGGTGAAAGAAAAGGAAGAAAAAAGGGGCAGGCGTGTGATGGGTGAAGGTCAGATCAGGCCGGTTGGGAGAAGAGCAGTGGTTGAGCAACGTACCGTCGATGTGCGCCCTTCCATCTGCGCGAAGAACCTCGGCAATGGTGATGACGTTGGACACGGCAAGCCCCAGCCCGCTGAGCTCGACTGTGGAATTAGCATTGAGAGACTTCCTTGCCAGAGAGATGAAGAAGCTCAACGGACGTTTCTCTCTGGAAACCTGGATGCGTCGCGGGGGGGATTGACGCTGTGTTGTGTGCGGCTGCGGTGGTTGAGCAGCAGCCTTTGGCGCTGGCGCTGGCGCTGGCGCTGGCGCTGGCGCTGGCGCTGGCGCTGCTTGCGTGTGAACAATAGGGTGGATGGACGGGTCATTGGCGTCTGGAGCGACAGACGCGGAGGGAGACATGACGAAAGGCGGGGCGGGGATATAGGAGATAGAGATGGAGGGGGAGGGAAGGTTGTTGAGCGGGGAAGGGCAGGTTGTGAGGAAGGGTGGGGTGCGATGGTCGAAAGGGCGACGCGCAAAGATAAAGGGGCTGTTGGGAGTTGGGAGGCGCCGGCTGGCTTGGCGCACTGTCTGTTCGGAATCCGAACGATTTTGAGTTTGCACACTTTGCGCCGTGGCTTACATGCGTGCGTGACGTGTCGCGTACGCGATCGCGTAGGAACGACCAATCGGTTGTCAGCGTCGACACGGCGCGTTCTGGTTCCACTTAAGTACTTTCCGGCGCACCCGGTCGCTCACACGAACGGGTTCGTAGCTCAGTGGTAGAGCAATCGACTGCAGATCGATAGGTCGCGTGTTCGACTCACGCCGGGCCCTTGTCGCCGCCGTTCTTTTGTTGTTCTCTTTTCCTTCGCTACCCGGAACAAGTACTTACGTCTTTATGCTTATCCTGCCAGTCTTGTTCCGTCCGAAGCGCCTCGTCGTTCCCGCTGCACGTGTGTACACAGAAACCCGCGTCTCTTTTCATTTACCTTCTACACCCTCCGTACCCCGCTAGCACCAACTATGCGCTGCTCGTCTTTATGCACTAAAACATACCAAGCCCCTTCAGAGGTACGCCCCCGGCAACCCTGCCAAAGCCCCGCGATCCTCCGTTACTTCCATCGCCACTCGAAGGTCTATCCGGCCGACCAAGCAACCCAACAGGTAGCTCCAATCCGCTCTTATTCCCACTATCATCCTTATCATCCTTATCATCGCCGCTCTCGCTTTCAGAGCTCGCCGTACTACCGCCACTGTCACCATTTCCGTTCCTCGCAAACTGCACCAGCTCACCGTCAAAGTCGTTCATGAAGATGTCCTCATCTTCATCGATCATGCTTCCGCTCACGTCCTCCATCACTTCATTCATGCGCCTGATTTCTCCGTTCCACGACCCCCCGCCTATCGGTAACACCGGGTCGTATACACGTTCGTTGCTGCCCGCCACTGGTGGTCGTTGTAACCCGTCTACGGGCGCATTCGTTTGCGCTCTCGAATCCAGCTCTTCGATTTCCGTCTCTGCATCGTCATCGTCGTCGTCATCACCGTCATCCACCTCGCTCTCTGCGTCGTTGCTGCCGCTGGGCACCACCATACCACCCAACCCATTTCCAAGCTTCAACAACCGTTCAGAAACTTCTTCATCTTCTGTACGCTCTTCCTCTTTCGGCTTGCGTTTCTTTCGCGACCACGCGCGAATGTACTTAATCTTGTACGTGGCGGGAAGCGTGTTGCGGGAAGGTAGTCCGAACCAATACGGCATCGTCTCCACGTCGAATTTAATAGGGAACGCTTGTTTCCAGTATCGGTTTCGATCTCGTCGGATTGCACGCCCATTGAATGTCCATGTTATGTACCGCTTACTCCAGTCTACCCCGTACGTGTTGAACTTGGACCTCAATTTCTTCGTGTGTGTGTAGTACGTTGGCTTGTTGATTTCGTTTACACGCGGTTCAATGCCCTTTTCAACATCGCGAAACACGTGCAAGTTCATGTTAATACGTTTGCGATAGTCAATTCCGTTATTCACTGCGCCGCCGCCTATTTCGAATACATCGATTTCAGTCCACAGAGTTGGAGTGTCGAGAGACCCCCAAAACGCAGACGACAATCTTGAGTTTGACGGTTTTGCTCGCACTTCGAAGTATCCATACTTTGCCATCTTGCGCGTCATAACGAATGCAGTTGTGTACTTTTCATACCCTTCTGGAGCGTCTGCGAACACTTCATCATTCTTCTCGTAACGACCTCGTAACCGCAACTCCCCACGCCGCTGCTTCACATTCTTGGTGGCGAACAGCCCTGGTTGTCTTCCTTTCCACCGCGGATTGATGTTGTACCATTTGTCTAAGTCAAATCGTTCTGCTCTGAACTCATCTGAGAAGTCCTTCAGAAACTTGAACCTATGTCCCTTGAACAAGTCCCCCTTCAATTTGGGCTTCTTTGCCCCCACTGCATTATGTGCAAACGTTAAGAGTGCTAACCATACCAGCAGCGCTTTCATTCTTGGATAATGTGTCGTATTGGAGAAGGCTTTAATTTTCAATCGCCGAGCCTCTCAGAGGTGGATGAAAGAAGGAGCGAGACGCCCGACATTGTTTAGGAACAACTGGGGTTCTTTACTGACGACCCGTTGCCTTCAGTAACAGCTGGCCCTGCCGTAGTTTACTTGCGCGCGTCAAAGCGTTGCGTGAAGAGCAGGCCCCACCATTGAGACAGTGAGCAATAGAAACATATTGACACCTCCAATCGAAGGCGAATGTGCATTGTGCTCGTGTCTTCACAACGTAAAAGTGGCCATATGTATGTATGGCCCATCACACTTAGAAAAGCTGAAATCTGAACACAACTACGGTTGTGGTGCGAGGTAGGATATTACATTACAATTGACACTGCGCTTGGCCGGTGCCTTGCGTCTTTGGACTGCCGTCCTTTTCATAAGTTCTCGAAATACGTCAAGGTTTCTATCCAACTTACGCATCTAGGCAAAATGCCACTGAAAACGAATTTGTTCGACTCTACCCTTCAACCTGAAAGTGTTTCCGCGTGTCAAAACTGTAACCCAGGGATAGCAGATAACCCTGTTAGCTCCTTACCTTAGTATCTTTCGTTTTTCTGACAAAGGCCCAAGACCTCCACTCTATCACCGCAATCCAAATCGACCTCTTGACATTCGTGTTAGTGGATATTAGTATACGAAAAAGAAGTTGTCCTGGCGTGATTTTGAAAGAGAGGGAAGGATACAAGATTGTTGAAATGATATAGTACATCTTCTTTATTGTGGACAACAGCTTTCTATTACTAAGCTGAAGGGGAGCTTTCAGTAAAAAGTTTCTCTTTTCAGGAAGGCCAAGATTTTTTACAATGCTCTTACCTTCAGAAACCCAGTTTTGAAAGCATCAGGTAGAGTTAGCTACGACTATATTGGAGTCATGTCACAGACTCCTGGGTCTGTACTCCGTGAAAAATCTAAAAAGCTGATGAGACAGACACCAAAGACAGTTCTAGCCCGATGGAAGTCAAGCGTAACACTTTAGCGCCTGAGGGGAAACGTGAAGTGTTCTTCTTCTTCTTCTCTGTGTTGCATATCACAGCTGAAATTGCCAAGCTGTTTAAAAGGACTACCGTCAAGCACTTTTCAACTGTTTGAAAAGGCCATGACTCTGATTTCAGTTCAACAGCTAACTGAGGAGGGGTTGAGCTCGAGCCAGAAGACGGCAAAAAGGACTTCCTTTCAGAGTTTTACATCCTTTCCCCCTTGAGGGAGCCTGCACTCTGTACTCCATGAGGAGTGAGGAGCTTCAGCTCAAATGCTACGGTGAAGCTTGAACAGAGGTTTGACTTTGTGTCTCTCGTGGACCATGAACCATACTTATCCCCAAGGGATCTTATTCAAGATTCAAGCAATGCGTCTGTCCCCGTGGGAAGAGAAAGGTTTCCAGACAGCGCTGGGGATCACAGTGTGAGGTGCTATTATATTGGTATCCCCGCTGTGGTGAGGGACCACTGCAAGGTACTAGCGAGTCCCGCTCAGGGCACATGCAGTTCCGCCCGTCGAGGTGTGCCGACCTTCCGAAAAGGCTATATAAAGTTACGCCGGATGAGGAAGCCAAATGGAGATGCGATTGGATCTATTAGGAGAATTTAGCCGTCGAGTAGATAATAGCATTATACGTGTAGAAAGTGAATACCGTTGCCTTGGAATTAGAGGCACGTGCCCGTAACCACACACACACACAGTGATATCCGTCTCTTTGGATTGTTTTCAATTGTTGTTATTGTTTGTTTATGGTGCACGCTATTGATTCCAAAAGTGGTAGCAGTCCCTCTCAAAACGAAACTTCTTGTTCTGTCTCCTCAGTACCTTGCCGCCATTCGATAAACGCACATGTGTTCAATGCTGATGAGCATGGTTTCTTTCCTCTTAAGCCAAATGCGAAGATGAACGGATACATCGTAGAGAAGGTAGAAAGCGCAGCTGACAGCACTTCAAGCTAGCTAGTGAGAATTCAATAGAAGGGGACTTGGTAACCCTTAACACCAACATCCTACGGTAAAAATAGAGCAGTTCGCTTCTTTTCGATATCGATTTGACAGTTCGCAACGTTTACAGTCTTCTCTACTGATGCCGATATGCGCCCCTCCGTTTGCGATAAGTGGACCAAAGGGAACTTGAACACGTATGCGTGACCCTTTCAAACATCTTCATGAATGGTTTCATCGATTCTCGTTTACGCAGAGATACTGGACGTGACACGAAATTTTGGTATGAGAACCCAAAAAGCCCGTCTAGAACAAGGCTGACTACCCTTGAGAGCGAGGAAGGAATAGCGGGGAAAACCATTCTGGTGACAGGGGTTGGTACGATTGCACACAAGGATTCTCTCTATCCCGTAGCAAAGAGTCTCTGCACTTGATAAACAATCTTGGCCGCTCTTTGATGACAGAGAGCTTTTCTGTACTGTTAGACTCTACCACAGAACCTTAATGAGGCAATGCGACCTCTAATAAACTAAACAATCAGAAAAAGAAAACGATAAAGCCCTCATAGTTCTGGAATTGTTTCCTATCTGAGAGGCATTTAGCTTTGCATATCCTCTTGGGTTCGTTACCACGCATCTGGAGCCTCATGGTCGTGCGAATGCACTAAGTTTACGTAAACACCTACTAGATTCATGTTGATCTACACACACAACGGTTCCACCATCTGCCATTACCCATCAAACAATGTTGCATCCTCCGCCTCACGGATTCCAGGCAACAGTGGTGAGCAACCGGCCAACGGAAAACGGGGAAACTGCCGGAGACATGAGTTTGTGCAGGTATGATGGTACTCACGGAAAGTGTCTAGAATTTGAATTTACTCCATACGTCGGGATGAGGACTGTGAAGCGCAAAGTGCACTTGCAGCAGAAAGAACATGAGCTGATCAACACTACACGCAGTGTTGATCATTTTCTGTCTCATTTGGTCAAAACAGTTGTGCTAGAGCTTAGCGGAGACGAAGACACTTCGGCCTTTCATGGGTTACAGTCATAAAGATAAGCATAATAAAAGATCACGGAGATACATGAGGGTCCCACAAGAAGAGATGGCACATTCGGAAGCAAAACCGAAAGGCTGTGCAAAACACGAAAGACTACATATCCTATAAGTCCGGCATTGTTAACTGCACTGCGCATGAACTACGAGGGCACATACGACCCGGGGTAATCCTGGCGAAGCGAAATGGGTTCGCGATTAGGTTCCTGAGAGAGGCGCAAAACATATACAGTACACTGAACTATGAACTCCTTTACAGACTGATGCTTTGCTTGTGAAGAATGAGCGTTGGT